TTTCCTTTTTACTTTTTTGCATGTTTCCTGGAGCAAACTATATTGAAAAATATACTCAGAAAGTCTCACTCCTACCTTTTCTCCTCCACCTCATTCTTACCCATCCTTCATCAGGTACTAGTTTCCCCTGTTTCTTACAAAAAGGTAGCATACTGTATATTCTACTACGCCTTGCAATAGAGGTAAAGTTAAAAAAATTTAATACCCAAAATTGCTAAATCCACAAAGCATATTTCAAAGAATTCTATATCTTATTAACACACCCAAGGGTAGTACAAGCAAGATGCTACAAGAAATAACATACCGATGTAAATATCTTTTGGTAAATGTTAGAGGTATATCTAACAAATTTCATAAATCTAAAAGCAAGGTCTTCCTTCAAGAATTGAAAAGTATGGGAAATACACCCTGGCCGGTGTGGCTCACTTGGTTGGATCATCATCCCATAACCAAAAGGTTGTGGGTTAGATTCCCGACTGAGGCACATACCTAGGTTGCAGGTTAAAAACCTGGTGCAGGTGCGGCTGCATGTGAACCCTGGTCTGGATGCATATGATCCCCAGTCCAGGCGCATACAGGAGGCAACGGACTGATGCTTCCCTCTCGCATTGATGTTTCTCTCTCTACCTTCCTCTCACTCTAAAAGCAATGGGGAAAAAAAGAGTCCATCAGTGAGGATTAAAAAAAAAAGTATGGGAAACTGAGTTCAGTAGAGGAGATGACAATGATGCTGAAAAGACTAAAAATCTAGACTTGGTGTAATAGGATTTTATCTGAAAAGTTAACAAAGGTTTTTGTTGACTGCAAGTTTCATATGCACCAATAATTAGGTGGGGTTGCCTACATGGTTTTTGATACTAACAAAAGCACAGTTCCTAGGTCCCTGCAATCAGAGAGTCTATTCTTTGTTGGTTGGACCAAATCTGGAACAGTGTTCAATTCATGGGGCCACATTTTAAGAGGAACATTGAGAAGAGTACACAGAAAGAAGAGGAACTGCTTTGAGGAGAGAACTAAAGAATACAGAACTTCCTTCAAATATTTGAAAGCAATTACATAGAATGAGCTCCTCCCATGTTCCTCTAAAAGACAAAACTCAGACCAGAATATACATATCATAAGAAGAGGACTTCAATTCAACTGAAAAAAATATTACAGTTCAATGTACAGAATTAGTGAAGTTCCCATCACTAAAGGATTTAGATAGAGTGTGGAATTCCAGGGAGGAGTTTCCAAGCATCTCTCCGCAGGAAGGTTGTGCTGAATCAACTCTATGATTTAATTTTCTATTCACACCTAAAGAGCCGTCTATTAAGAGTAGACCATCTCTTAAGAGAGAGAGTAGCCATCTATTAAGTAAAATAGGATGTGATATTTGCAGTGATGACCTTGATTCATAAATAAAATATTCAATTGTTATTAGGTATACACCATTGAACATGGTTGGAGCTGCAGACACTTCCCAGAGTCTGCTTACATGTTTACTTGTTTTCTAGTCACTGACCAAATTAATGTGGGAATCAGACCTGGCTGGGTAAGTCTGGCTGATGGGTAGAACTATCCAGTGTCTGTTAGAATGCAGGATTCCAGATGGGAACACCAGTTGGAAATATACTCATCTCCTGGGGCAGACATACCAGTAAGACTTCTTAAGAGTCTCAGTCATCAGCTGGAGCAATGTTCTGAACGGTGCTTCTCACCTAGATTTGTTTTCCAGCCTCCTGTGAATACACGAATGCCTTGGGGGGAAAGTGGATTGTGAGCAAGACGTAAAAGAACTGTGACTAAAATGCCTGTTAGACTTTAGAGTGCAAGATAACACTGCTTTGGTGCCCATATGACATATTACAACACAAAGGGAGGTGTTCTTTCTCTTTCTGCTCAGAACACAAACTGGCTTGGCCCAAGAACACAGTGCCACTGCTTTGTGTCGAGGGTTCCAGCACCTCACTCCTGCCTAAGGCAGCAGCACTGTGACTTGGGGCAGGGGGAGTGCCCAGAAGGAGGCAGTTAGCGTGTGTCCAGTGGTCAAGGATGTGCATTTATTTCTGCATGCAGTGAGGCTTCAGAAGCTAAAGAAAGAAGGTAAAGGCTTCTTCATTAGCATGCTGGAATGTCTCGGTCATTTCCAGTAATAAAAGGGGGAGAATTTGAGTGTGGAATCCCCTCTGGAGAAGGTGACAATAACTAGCCATTTCTACAAAGTAGCCAGTTCATGATTCTAAACACGACCTGTTTGTAAACTAAATATATCTATAAATTCTTGGACACTTCTTCCATTGAGAGGTAGGATCTAAATTCCCCTTCCTTGAATTTGGGCTGGACTTCGTGACTTAATCTGTATCCCTTTAAATGCAGCAGAAGTGATGCTGTGTGGCTTTGGAGGCCAGGTCATTCAATGCAATAAATACAGTTTTTACCTTGCTTACAGGGATACCAGCATTTGGAGGCCCCAGCCAAATTGCAAGAAGTCTGACCACCCTGAGGCAAACACGCCACGAGGAAGCTCAAGGCACATGAAGAGAGCCTATTTCGGTATTTCTGGCAGACTGTCCCAGCTGAGGTCCCGGCTTCAACCACCAGACATGTGTGGAAATATGCCTCCAGATGACTGCTGTGCCAATTTATTGAGACACCCCCCCCCTCCCCGGCCTCGGGGCATTGAGTCTTCCTAGAAGAGCTCCCAGGCATCATGGAGCATGGACAAGCCATCCCTTCTGTGCCTTGACTGAGTTCTGAGTGAGGGGGTCACTTTATATTTTGGAAAGGGCAACACTATCATCGTGTTTTATCCTCACAATGATACGTTTAGGTAGGCTGGACTGGTATCACCACCACCCTCGTTTTAGAGATTAAAACAACAAAGAACAGGGATTTGAGCTTCCCTGCTTTGAGATTATATAGCCAAAACTGTGGCATGCTGACTAAAATCCTGATCTTTGAACTCTAAAGTTTGTGCGCTCTCTTTATATTTTCTTATCTGAATACCGTGGGGCTTTAGAACCGTCTAGGGAAACCAAATAAAATATACCCAGAATTTGAAGGCAAGGTCAGAAAGTGCTGAATAAATGGGAGCTAAGAAAAAGCAATATTAAATAAATGTTAGCAGCCATTCTGTGAAGAAATAACCATGTAAGGCATGATTTACGGATTGTTGCTGGAAAGGGAGGCTATACTTTAAAACGTAACCAATGAAAAAATCATCTCAGGACTTTTAACGTTATGAGCCAGTGTTTCAATGATGTCATATTTTCAGAGGGTGATTTTAAAAAGTGAAGTAAGACTGTGAGAGGATTTTAAAACCTGCCCGTTCTATTTCTGACGACTTCGAGGGGGAAAGGCGCCGAGACTGGCTGATGGTGCTGCTTTAGTCTGCTCAGAAGTACAGTCAAGAGGGGCACTTCAGACTACTGCCTGACCGTGACATTACCCCTTCCGAGCGTCTTCATGTAGCCTGCTTTCCCAAGCTGCCTTTTAATTTACATTTAGTTCCCCAAAGAGACGTTCCTTCTTGGAAACGAAAGTGCAATGATACCAACAAAGCATACCATGCTCACTCGACAGGTTGTATTCTGTACATTTCCATGTAGAGGGATATTAGTACGCTGATCAGTTAAGCAGTCCCCACAAACTACTTACCCCGGGAGTAAGCGTCAGCTCCTGGGCTCATGGTGACTATCAGTAGGCAGACATCCTGCCTCTGAGGCCAGTTGGACAGGTTTCTGTCTCTCGAATCGTCCTCAGCACAATAAGGAGGTCGCTGGTGACGTCCCCGTTCATGGAAGTACACAAAGGCAGAGTCCACTCAGGGCTTCTCGTGACTGGATGTGCAGGTTCCTTTGGTGATGAGCATTCCTACCGTCTAGGAGCCCACAGTAACCTCCACTATGTTTGTCACTCCTCTTTCTCCCTTCCTTAAATTGTTTTCTTCCTCCGAAATAGTCCTCCCTTCCTTTCAAACAAAATGTATTTTTAATAATAACCCGGGTTTCTTTAATTCCATTCCGTCATTGGGGCCTCTCAAAAGGATTTTACCTCTCCTTTCTTAATGGTTTTCATGCATATTTTGCACAGAGAATGTCTTGGAATGTTCTGTTTATGAAAGGCGCAAAAGTATTCAAAATATTTTGAATGCTTTTCTTCAAAACAGAAACGATCAAAGTTTTGATGCTTCAAACCTCTAGAATGTTCTGTGCTTTGTGCAGGTCCTCATACATGGAAAGCGCCCCCTCACTGACATTTGTTAAATGAATGAACCACGAAAACGAAAATATTCTGAAACATTTTATTCCTCAACGATGGCGAGGGGGGACTTTTATATTTCCCCTGAAACCCAACTTGAACAGACCACATCCTTTCATGAAAAGGATACAGGCATCACTCTGTAACTTGGCTGTTCCTAAATATATTTCTACCAAATTCTACTCGGCTGTTTCAACCTTGGGGTTTCAAGTCTGATTTTTATGACAGAGACGTTCGTTGCAAAAGAAATAACAGAAGTAGCTTGGGCTTCTCCGTCCTCCCTCTAGGATTCCAACTTCTGCTCGAACGCCAACCCTGCTCCTGGGCCCTACGTTCTAGAACGGGCTCAGCACGGCGAAGGGAGGAAAGGAGGGAAGCGAAGCCACGGAAACGCTGGACGAAGACTGGCGAGCGCCACGGTGGGCAAGCCGCGAAGGAAGCCTCCACAGCCGGGGGCGCGAGGGCGCTCCTAGGATTACGTCACGCACCGCGGGTGACGTCACGACCGTGACACGCGGGTGACGCCGTTGCCGCGGCGACTTCTAGTGGTCTCCGCCCCCTTCCCCCGCCCCCCCCCCGCCCCAGCGTCCTTCCCCCAATCCCCTCAGGCTCGGCCGCGCCGGGGGCCGCGGGCCGGTTCCTGAGGTGGCCCAGGCGCCCCCCGCCCCGCCGCCGGCGCCGCCTCGGCCGTCCCTGCCCGCCGCCCCCCGCCCTCCGCCTCCGCCTGCCCCCGCCCTCCGCCGCCCTGCCCCCTCCCCGCCCAGCAGCGGTCGCTCGGGCCCCGGCTCTCGGTTATAAGATGGCGGCGCTGAGCGGCGACGGCGGCGCGGAGCAGGGCCAGGCTCTGTTCAACGGGGACATGGAGCCCGAGGCCGGCGCGGGCGCCGCGGCCTCTTCTGCAGCGGACCCCGCCATCCCCGAGGAGGTGAGTGCCGGCGCCCTCTGCCCCCCTCCCGTCCCCGGTTCGGCTGGCCGCTGTTTATCTTGTGTGAAGAGGTGGCGCTGGGAGCTCGGATGCCCTCGGCCACCTTCTGCTTTGGGCTCTGCGGGTGGGAGAGGGGCATTCCCCCCCCTCCCCCGCGCCCCGTCCCTCTCCGTCATGCGGCTCCTTGCGACGTAAACACACACCGCGGCTCCGGGGGGGTTCCCTGGCCCGCACCCCGGCTTGGGGGATCCGGGCAGCGGCGCGGGAGCGGGAGGCTGTCCATAGGGGGCGAGCCTCAGCGTTGGTCCTAGAAGGTCACGGCTGCCTGGAGGGAGGCAGGCTCGCATCTCTTGAGATGTTTTCGTTATTTCGGGTGGGGGGAGGCAGTGGAGGGAGGCGGCGGCTTCCAGGGGGAAGATGTGGGGCCGGGAGCCGGGGCCGGCATCCCTGCCCGAGTTACCGGGGTGTCTGTGATGATGACAGTGGTCATGGGGATGGATGATGGGGCGCATCCTTCTCGCTCTGCTCTCCCCGACCGCCCTCTTTTTCAGGCCGCTGGCCTCCCTTCGACTTTCCTACTTGTTTGGGGATTTCTCTTCACCTCGTTTACCCAGTGGTTGGTTTTGCTTTAGTCTCGACTTTTTCAAACCTAAACCCCACCGTTTCCGCTCTCCCCGCCATCCCGGTCTCCGTGCGCACGGCCCCCCCACCCCACCCCACCCCACCCCACCCCCGCCCCAGGTCCTAATGTTTGTCCGTGCTCTGTCACCCGGTCCCTTTTCCATCTGCCGGACCGCCTGCCCTCGGACCTCAGCTTCTACCGGAGGCCGTTTCTGCACTTCCCTTACCCCTGGTCGTCCTGAGGCGCTCGACCTCATTCCACCGCCCGCTCCCTGACATCGTTATCTGTTGTGATCTCCGCAGATCCTTCGGGGCGCTTGGGAGCTGCTCACTTTCTGAATCCTGAAGCTGTCACGGTTCCATTAGGTTTCCCTTGCACGACCGGCACTTTTCGGTCGGGCTTCCATGGTCCACTCTTTATTTATTACTGCCCATTTAAAAAAAAAAAATTAGGCTTGCTTTCTTTCTGTTGTCCTTCTTTCGGTCCCAGTTCATCTCTTTCACTGTTTAGCCCTTGCTTCTCTAAACCTGTTTTTGCATTATTCAGCCTTTTTTAAAAAAAAAATCACTTTGTCAGATTATTTTGTTTACATTGTGTTTTTATTCCGTGAAATTTACTTGGGTATTTGGCATTGTATTACATAGAATAATACACTTCACTATACAAATTTTGAGGTAATTTATGGTGTAACAACTGTGCTTTACAATTGTTTAGATAACGTGACTTACTCTGTTGCCTTTGCTCAAAGTTCTCTTTCCTTCCTACTAGTTAACATTGTTTCCCAACTCTTGTAACGTCTCATTCTTTACTCTGTGCAATTCTTTTTCCTGCTTCATCATCTTTACTTTGAAAATTCATCTGCTGTGCTTGCCCTATTCAGTATCAGTTCACAATATTTGTTTTTCACCCTCTTATACCACCTCCATCTATGCCCAGAGGTGTCCTGTACCATCACTTATTCTACTCTTAAATTTTCTCATATTTTTCTTCTTCCTTAAAAATATATTACATTTTTTTCTACTTTACAGATTGCATTTTCTCTAATATCTGTTCATTTTCCCCAGCTTTTGGATTCTGAGAATAGAGTTCTTCCCTTCTTCCATTTCTTAGTTTATTCTGTTTTCCTTGTCCCTAGGTGCCATTCATTCTGCCTTGTTTCCTGGCTTTTGGTACTTAACTTGCTGAAGCTTCCTCTTGTCTTCCCCACACCTCCACATTCCTTCTTATTTATAAACAGCTTTGTTCCGTTGACATGGAAATTTATTTTTAGGATACATTGTTTTTAATGGATAAATACTAGGGGTTACATCTGCTGCCTATTTTTTCCATGAATCGGATATTCCTTTGTCCTAACAGGCACAGGTGCCTCTAGGCTTGCTTTACTTTGTAGTGCATGTGTGGGTTTGTTGAATTGCATCTGGAAGAATAGATAAATTAGTGGGTATAGGTTATGAAATTGCAATTTTCTTATAGCATTGTTTACATTGAGAATTTTGTTTCAGAGTTTATTAGAACAGTTTGCAATGATATAGGGAAGACTTTGTAATATAGAATCTTTGCTCTCTTACTTGAAGGGCCAGATTGAACTCTGCTACTCCCGGAGGATTCTGATTAGGTGAGAGCTAGGTTTCTCACCTAGGAGAGGCCATGGGTTTCTGCATCTGACACACTTCCTAGGCATTTCTCACATATCAATGCTTGAGAAGCTCTAGGCTAGATGAATTTAGGTTTAAACTGACAATAATTGGAAGGCATATCCTTATTTCCTGAAACCATAAGGATACTTTAATTGAAAGTGTGTCCCACTGCCTCCCTCACCCAGGTTTTAATATTTAATAATGAATAGGTTTTCCTTTATATTTTTTACAGGAGCTGATAATAAATATTTGTCGGGGAGGGATAAGTGATTAAAAATGGATATCTTTTTAATGTAAATTTCAATGACATGGATGGTAGAATAAATTTCTTTGAGACATAATTTTAAATTTGACATTGGTGTTAATTCAGTGGAAACTGAAATGTGCTGTGGTCTTTTGAGCTGTCTTCCTAATACGCACTTAAAGAGATATCTTATGATTGCCATATGCATGGGAAGAAATGAAAAATTGTGCTAGTGTAAAATGACATGTTTTATTTTCTAAAATTTACCTTACTGACTGTAAACTGTAAGTTTAAAAATATGTTTTCCAGGGAGGTTTCAGCTGCACTAAAAAATTTCTAATTACAGAGGGAAAGCACATTTATTAAGTACAAAAAGTAAAAAAGTCATCTCTAATCTTGCCACTAAGGTATAATTACATAAACAGTTTGATGTACATACATCCATACACTTTTTTATACTTGTATAATACAGTGTGTGTGGTTTTGTAATATTTCTAACAGCAATATAGCAAAATATTTTACCTGCCATTATATACTGCAATTTTTAAACTAAACATTTTTTTTGATATTAAGTTGTTTCTATTTTTTTATACTCTTGTTATCAAACATCTTAAACATGAAATTATGTTGGGAATTGAACAAATTGCATGTCCTATATTTGTAAGTATTATTTTATAGATGCTCAAAATCGAATATTCTGGTAAATGAAAGGAACTTATTAAATATTTATCAAATGAATGTGCTTATACTTTTGTCATTAAACATTTACTTCTGAACATTTAGATTCCCCTGATGTTACTTTCTGTCTCTCTATGACCATATGGTATAGAATGGGACAATATGGCCGTATGGTATAATAAATACATTGAAAAAATGTGTTGTGACAGGGTATGGTATTTATTAACTATTCTTGTGCTGTGCATCTGTAGAAGGGAGTGTCTTACAATTGTACTGTTAATTTTTTAAGATCTCTTACTGCCAATCTTAGTTAAGTTGTGTACTTTTAATAATGCATTGACTAAGCAGTATTCTGGGATGGAATCTCCTTTATAATGAAGTCCACTCTGTTAAAACACCTTTTTATGAACCAAGCCAAACCAAGGTGGATTACATCATACTCTTAATAAGTGGAAGTCCCACTAAGGTATGTGCCTCTGCAGTTCTGGCTATTGCTGTTAATACTTGTCTGGGTATATTTAAAGGTAGACAAAACATGCTTGTTAGGCAAAACTATAGAAAAGCTCTGTCTTTGGTATTTCTAGTGTTCCCTTTCCGTGCTCTTTCTCCTCATTTAATGAGCTCCCTCCTTTAGTCATTTACTCACTTCTTCTGATATCATTCACTTTTATATGTTGGTTATTAAAGAATTGATTGTTAGTAAACAGGTAAGAAAGGAACGTTGGGACTGGGTGCTTAAATCCCTGAGTATAGTAAATCTGAGAGCAAACTGGGTTTAGTTGTATTTGGATAATAGGCTAGAAAAATTATATTCAATAGCAGGCTAGAGAAGTCTGACTTTTTTAAATTTCCTGTCTCTTGCTTTCCTGATTAGGATGAATTAGGATGAATTATCCCATCTTAACAACTGGAAACTTGTGTTCTATGAGTTTGGGGGGAGAGGGAGGGAAGCAGGTTACTTTATTTATTTATTTATTTATTTATTTATTTATTTTACGTATTTTGTGAGAAGATGCTTACCTTGTTCTTCCTTTTTCTGTAATCGTAAAGGTGTTTTCTCCTTTAGAATTGCAAAAGTGCCTTTTGTTTCCTTTGACATCTTGATATTAATTTAGTTGTGTACTTAGTGAACATTTTTGTAATAATCCTCTTGTTTTATGAAATCCAGTATGTTCCTAGCTTCCTATATTTCTGCCTCAAATTATCATTAAGCCTTTGTTGTCAGTAGCCCTTACAGAATTTTGTATTCCTCCAAACTTTAATTGGTTTAAGCTCTGTACTCATTCTCTTTGTCTACTTTATGTACATTAATTATTTTGTTGCAGAATTTCTGAATTCAAAGTAGGTGAGCCTATTTGGGAGATTTTCTGTGTTTTTGGAGAACTGCTTTCATAGTTGTAATGATAATGTTAATGCTATAAGAATCGAAAAGATAATCTCATTTCTTCCATTTCATCCTTAAATATTTGGTGGAGGAATTGACATATTCTGGGAGGTAGTTTTTATTTTTTGTTTCTTTTGTTATCTTTTCGTTTCTTATTTTTTAGCTACCAGTCTAATTTACTGTCATATATAATTAGCATGGTAGTCAGAAGAAACTCTTAACCTAACCTCCACCCTAACTAACATTAAGCAGTTATTTTTCCTCCCCTCTACCCTCCGAGATTATTTTGGTTTCCATGTTTTCTCTTGGGCTTAAAACACTATTATTCTTGTTTCTTCCCATTTCAAGACTATGCATACATAGAGGGAGATTGATGCCCAGTAACATTCCATTTCTTTCTGGGTCCTGGGAAAGCCCTCGATAACAGAATATAAA